CTTTAAAATTATGAATTCTTAAATATATATCTTTCATATTAATTATATTGGGACGATTTATATGAAGGCCGATATGGTCTGTCGGCGCACGACCAAAATTCGGAATAATTTAGGCATCTAACTTTTACATTTGTTTTTATTTCTTTAGTACTATGTAAAAGATTGAACTAAAATTTAAATCACTGAAACCAGAATCGAAATCTTAATGATATGTCAAAATTTCGTATAAATAACTTTAGAAACAGACGACTAGTGTCATGATTTTCAAAGTGTTGTTCGAAATGAGATTGATGAAATTTACGTCGTCGAACGCGTACCGGCGCATAGAAATGTAAGAAATTATTTTTGCTATGTTTTATATTCATCAGAGACTGGGAAAGGAATACAGAAAGGACATTACACACTATATTTTAATAGAATAGTTGTTTTTTAAAAGCACGAGATTCAAAGATAGTTTTAATTCCCTCTATATCGAAAAAAAAAATAGTTATTGCATGTAAAGTAGAGCACTGATTGTTTAACGCAGACATTTGGGAACGGGCCATGAACATCGTCAAACAAGGTGTATTCTCTGCTGCCTAAAATGTAAGGTGATCTTTCAACTAATTAACATGGTTTCTTTATTTTTCCATAGTTTTCTTATTAAATGTGGTTTCGTCATGAAACTTAAAATGCATGATCATAAAATGTCACTCTTTGCTATGACAAGAAAAGAAATGTGATAAAAAGAGAAAATAATATTTAAAACGAGGTAAGTTATTGACGAACAAGTTAATAAATCAAGAATATCAACAGTCTCATTTAAAGTCATCAGTTCGTACGTTCTATGGTCGATACAATGACCTTGTCAGCAAGAACAATCTATCATTAAGCCAAATGCTGACTGACGTTTCCAAACTATACTGTTCATTATTTTAATTACACGCTGAATTTTCGAGAATTTTTTTCTATTTTCCCGATCATGACAATTAAGGAGCACACGGCGGGTGTGACCGGTCAGCAGGGGATGCTCACTCCTCCATAGCACCTTATCCCATCTCAAGTGTTTAAGAGGTCCGTGTTTCCTTCGCTCCAATTTTATATTGTTTAATCAAATGGACTTATAAGCTTGAATATTGTTAATTCGTTATCTCCATATATTTCTTCTATATCAATAACATCAAAACGTACGACTTTTCAACATTCCTTACTGTTCTTTTCAAAATCCGGTAAGGGACTAAAAAAAGATGCTTAAATTTCTAATTGACAAAATCAATGTAGGTTTTCTTTTTTATTAAATCATGTCTTCCAACGACTTATTGGAATTTCTGAGGGTAGTATTTGTTTTTCGCTATAAACTGAGGACATATTTTTCTTTCACAAGGGTTGGCACAAAAGTAATGTCACTATGTCTATATCTTAAATATTTGGTGTCACATTATCAAATATAATGTACCAATATGCATAAAAATAAATCTAAGCAAACGTTGAAAATTTAATTTAATAATGTTTAATTGAATTAATTTTATAGAATTTAAAACATTAAAGATAAGGGGTGTCGCCACGTCACAACTAAACGTCACGTTTTAAAGTATATTGTAAGAATTAAAAAAGACAAACACATTTAAAAAAACATCTAAAAAGCGTCTAATCACCCTAAAAGACAAATTTTACGATATTTTCTAGTCTTTACTTGAAAATAAAATGACGTCATTGCTTTTTGATCATAAACATTGTTGTTTGAATCTGATGTATTGAACAAAGAAAATGTAGAAATGGTAAAATCCACACTGATAATGCTAAAATGCATTTTTGTTCAAAATGGGGAATCGCCAATAGAAAGTTACGATGCTAAATCAGACACATAGAGAAGAGACTGTAAAAAAAGTCTTGTTTTTTTGATGGTTTCACGATTTCTGGCGGGTCATGGGTTTTGAATGATCAGCAAAGGACAGGAAGGCCGAAAAATATTAGGCGTGGTTTTAATATTTTTGAGGTATTTTCTGATATCAAAAAAGAAATTCTTGATATTAATAAATCGTATTCTTGATATCTTAAAATATTTCTTGAAATCAAAAAATAGTTCTTGATGTCAAAAAATAAATTTTTTGATATCAGAAAATCATTTTCTGATATCAAACATTCGAATTCTTGATATCAAAAAATTTTTTCTGATATCAGAAATTCGAATTTCTGATATCAAAAAATCTTTCTTATTTTCTGATATCAAAAAATCGATTTTTTGATATCAGAAAATGATTTTTTGATAACAAGAAATCGAATTTTTGATTATCAAGAATTCTAATTTTCTGATATCAAAAAAGAATTAAGAATTCTGAATATCAGGAAATCAAATTTTTGATTATCAAGAATTGCAATACTTGACTCTCATAAAATAACGTGTATTTCTGACATCAAGACACACTAATTCTTGATATCAAAAAATCATTTTTTTTTTATATCAGAAATTCCCCTTTTTGATATCAGAAAATGATTTTTTGATATCAAAAATGATTAGTATTTCACAAAATCGATTTTTTGATATCAGAAAATAAGAACCAAGTAAAAGTACGATCGATTTAATGAATGCTCCCTGTGAAGACCATTCAGCTTCCCGCTACACAATTTTGTTGCAAACTTTGTGGGTTCTAATAAGTTTGGGACATGTCTGGATGTTAGGATGCCGTCGTATTTTTCACAGGGTTCTGATAAGTTTAAGACATGTCTGGATGCCGTCGTTCTTTTGCACTATTGACTATATATATTTTTAATCATTTAGTTTGCACACATATCTTAAGCACAAACTTTATGGATAGCTCAGACTTCACGATGAAGAATGAACTTCTGCTACTACACAACGAGTACATGCTGGTCAGCTGTGATGTAACATCACTTTACACAAATATGCCATGGGCGTCGGAAGGAAATTGAAAGTTGGGGGCTAATCAAAGTGGGAGGGGGGAGGGGGGCTAAACAACAAAAAAAAAATCCCATTTTTAATACCTATGTAATGTCTATTCTTGCAAATAAAGTGGGGGATCTGAAATGCCCCCCCCCCCCCCGGTTCCGACGCCTATGTATGCGATTGGAGAAACTAATGGCTGCTGTTAACAGGTTGGGGGGAAACGTAAATTCCGCTATAATAGTGGTATCTCACTATTATAGTGAAATTACGCTATATTTCCTGCCGTAGATACCCTCAATTTCATCCGATACCATGCAAGGTGTTTGAACCGCAAGTCATAGTGGGTATTAAAATGATCAAAACTGTCATGCTGGCATGTTTTGAATTTTAATAAATTTTCTACCGTTGCGTTTAATAATGCGAGCACTCTTTTTTTAACGGAAGTTGCATTTTTAACATAGCAACCGATGATTACAGGGTATTTAAGCCTGTTTGAATCTCATTTATTCCTCATTTAAGTGCACAAATTGATGCTTGTTACAATTGTCAACTAGGACTGGAAAGGGTTTATGGCATTAAACAAGAAAAAGATTATTTCTGTCTGCATGGTTACGGGTATGGAGGCCCGTTATGGTAAACGTAAAGACCCAATATGGCAAACATAAAAAAGAGTATGTTGATAAACTCGATTATATCTTCTTAACAAAATCAATTTATAATAAATAATTCAAAAATTACCTATGAAAACGATCGTTGAAAACACATCTAATTTTTAATTTCGGCTGGTTAATTGTTTATTTCAGAAAAAAGACTCAATTTACTTTGGTGTCGGGAATATTTTACAAGAGTGCCTGTAACCTTATTTTAACACATGTTAAATTGGAATTCTTAATATCAGAAAATGATTTTCTGATATCAGGAATTCGGATTTTTGATATCAAAATATCTTGCTTATTTTCTGATATCAAAGAATATATTTTCTGATATCAAAAAATAAAATCGAATTTCTGATATCACAAAATGATTTTTTGATATCAAAAATACCTTAAAAATATTAAAACGGCACCCCATAGAAAAAGGGAGTTCAGGCGGAAACGTTCAATGGTGTCTTACGTTGTCAAAAGAGAGAGACGTGTCACGGTTAGAGCGGTATGAGAAACTAAAGTTTTTCTTATGGTTTTGTTCAAAGAATTTTGACAAAGGACTAAATTATACATAGAAATAGTATACAATGGATGTCAATAATTCTTTTAAAAAGTGAAATAAGTGAATGTGTTCGTGAATCTCAAATATTTTTAAATGAAACGAAGCAATGTGAAGGGGAAGCGTTTAAAGGTGTATGACGGCGTGTATCCGTCATATGACGTTATGTAGGTGCGGCGACTACCATAATCTCAATTTGTATAAAATTCGATATTTTGAAAAGTATAAAACATTTTGATTTGAATTTTTCAGGACTGATTTGATAAAAATATACTGTAAATCACATTTTATTCGCTAGAACTTTATTTTCGCGTAATTAGCGAGACCGTATGCTCGCGAAAATTTCATTCTCGCGTATAATAGAATTCCTTAAGATTATATAGAGCAATGACCACAATTCGTGAAAATTTTGTCTCGTTTGTAAAGAGTCAATGATTATCTCGCGAAAATAAGGTGTTGCGAAAATTAAGTGATCTACAGTAGCTTCCATCATGTATAATTTCGTTGATTTAGCACCGAATTTTTCAATACCCTGCTTATGGGAATACATCTGAGGAGAATTAAAACTACAGGCAAGGTAAACTTCTTTAACAATCAGATTAATAATTTTTATTTCTTATAAAACTCTTTAATTTCAATATGGGATACGATATTATTGAGATGAAACATATGAAGATAATTTATACAGTATTCAAGATCAAATGCCCATTAAACAATACCAAACTGGAGCAGAGCAAACACGAACCTCCAATACATCAGAAGTGAAATCAGGTGCCATGGCGGAGTGGGCATTCTCTGCCAACTGTCACATCCGCCATGTGTTCCTTGTCATGGTCACGAAGTGACAGATTCATTTAAGAGATTTACTGAATAATAAACCAAATCTATTTTTTCTTTTTTTTATGCCCATGTTTTCCCAATTACAATTTTACCGAAGAAGGAAAAAATCAACTTCATTATATGCATGAACAGTATAGGCATATTACGAATGTACATATTTAATCATATAAACTTAGAAATACTAGAATTTTAAACTCTGGCCATAATTTGAAAGAATAAAGCCAAGATTTTCATGTACAATATTGGAAAACAAAGGTTCATGAAACATTATGGCAATATAAAAATCAAGATAATTTGGCAACTTAATCTCTGATACTGAAAGTACTGTTTAGAGTATATATCCAAGTTTGATATTGTGATATTTTTCCATTTGTTGAACGTATTCAATAAATAATTCATCAGAGCAAAGAGCTAGAGTTTTCCCAGCTAAATCTTCATTGGAAAGATGTCCCTGGAAGACTTCTGGGAGAGAACTCGATCTATATCTCTCAATTACATAGTATGTTGTTCTTTTCATGTACTCACACCTATCTATAACTTGCATCCATTCATCCTGATTTAATTCAGATGCTTCGATAATGGTTGTTTTCAAATATTTTATAATTCTATACCATAATTTTATCCAACAAAATGCAAATGTCAGTTCTTCGTGTGATGAACCTTTCGTTTCAAATTCTGGCCAAGCAAAACACGGAACTTCTAAGATGTAACCCCAGGTGTTTATGCTTCTGGCAAAAAATGTCGGCATTTTGATGTCAAAGAGTGAATTGGCCAAGTAGTCTAAAATATCATGTATACATGGGGCGTATAGTTTACGATTTACACATTTATTTCCCCCGTACACATGAAATAGGAAAGCTGATTTTAACACGTACGAAGAGACATTCATACACTTTCCTGTTAAATCGTTTTCTCCTATCAGAAGAGATTTTAGAATTTTATAAGACTCTTTATGATGTTCGTCCATGTTCTTCATTAGTTCAAGTTCCATTGCCGCGAACGATATAAACAAACATGGTGGTTTCGGGAAATGATCAACGTGACACGATTTGGTTACAATGTGACATCCATGTTTGAAAAGTAATTCCTTAAATTCAGGTGGAAAGTCTGAAAAAGAGGTAACCATTTCTAGATTCGGATGTTCAATTGCCAACATTAAATCAACGCCAATAGTCGTATTTTCTATGGGGACAAGAGGATTTTTTACTTTATAGTCTGATTCCGGAATATGAAACTTTTTCTCATAATTGAAATATAATTTTTGTTTTAAATCGACAGGTTGCGTGGTGAATATCTTTCCTGAATGTTTTTCTACACCCAATTTTCTTGCCTCCGAATGTATGGTAATTTTTTTCCAGAAATTCAAAAGAAATGATTGTCGGTTTCCAAAATAATTCTCGAACATATGACTTGTGGAGTGACAGTGGAGCAAATAAGGTTGTAAAATATCAATGGCTCTTTGGGACTTGAGTTGAATTTTCCAGTACCACCGATTGCATCCGCTTTGAAGAATTATTGAATCTGGTGTTGAAAGTGTTTTCAAAACCACCATAAAGTCGAATTCATTGACAGAACTGATTTTGTGCCTTCGAAGAAACTGCCGACAGGTAATATTTTGGAGAATTGGAATTCTGGACTTTTTTCACCTACAACATGTAATATTTCCTCCACCAGTTCCTGGACTCCTGTTTCGATGTCTCTTTTCTCCTCACCCTTCTCTTTGACGAGGCAGCGACTACGGAAGACGTATCGCAAAAAAGCCCTCTGCTTAAACGTGTTATCTTTTGGTTCTGAAAATTAATTATAGACATTTGTCACCTAATTTACATGATAATTAAAACACAAATCTGTGATGCATGCAGTCCTTGAACAATTAAAGTTTGACTGATGATGAATTAAAAAATTTGTAGAAAATGTTTCTATTTGGAGAAAAATGGATACGTATTCTTCTCTAATAAGGTTCTTGTTACACTCTAGTGGTTTCGACAGTTATATCAATATTACATGTTCAAAGAGTGAATGTGAAAAAAAGGACCAGAAAGATACTACCTCATGTATCTGAAATGTATTTTTCAGAAACAGATGTAGATGAGATTTTAAAAAAAATGTACATAAAGTAAATTGTGTCACTGCACTTCTAAATAATAAATACAGTACGTACCCATTATACACTGATACATATAATATCATTATAACTTCCTCTTTCGTTTTAAATCTGATGCTACAATGAAGTGCATTGAAGTGGTAAAATTTTCCGTTTGGATGAAACGTTCTGAGTCATGTTTTGAACGTCAATTATAACAGAATGACACGCCCATTTCTTTAGAAACGAACAAGATATATTCGTCGTAATGTTTTAGAACACCCCATTCTTTGCGACAAGGAACATGAGTTACACCGAAATGGAGATTTTTTAAATTATAAGAGAGATTTAGAGAGTTCCAGCTTCTGTAAAACACGTATTGCAACGAATTTGTACATAATTATGAATTTATCATGTTTATTGGAGTTTCCATAACACATGTTTTGGTCGAACACGTGCTTACTCTGTGTTCATGTAGACCGTCAATTTGATTGGCTATTATATTTATGGAATACCTGTTCTACGGGTATTCGAATGAACCATTTTACCGATTTCTCCTTTCTAAAGAAATGGGCGTATCATTGTATGACAATCAACGTTCTAAAGATAGCTCAGAACGTTCCATTCAAACGGGAAATTTTACCACTTCAATGCGCTTCATTGTATATACAAAAAATTTTACCTTCGTAATAATAAGAGAATGTCATATATAAATGTTTTGGATTCCGTTCAATTGAAGCAAATAGAAAACTGATTTTGTCATTGTACATAAACAAAATAACATGTGACAAAAACAAATTTATGATAAAAAAGCATTGTGAGAAATGTAGTATGAAATATAAAAGCCTCGGCTTTTAACTTTCAAACAACGTTTCTCGACCTCGGAGGTTATCCTGCATCATTCATGAAAACGCGGACTTTATTTCTTTAATATTTTTTTTATCATTTTGCGCGAATGAATCAGGTTAATGTACATAAATGTTAAATGTAAGTTAATAAAATATGAACAGAAAATTGCTTATTAATCGTAAAGTGTTATGTAAACATTTTATAATGACATTGTCGACTTCATTCTTACCTGACTCCATGCTATATCCGCATTTCTAAGAACGTCTGGTTGGACTTGCTAACTATGACACAATTTCACATTGTTATATGGATTTACCAGCTATATTTTCTAAGTTTGAAGTGGCGATACTCTTGAAAAAAGATATTATTCATATATATATACTGTTCCTTATCTCCATGTGTTTCATTTATGCCATTACTTCATGTTTCACTTTTATCTATATATATATTTATCTATATATAATCAAGAACGATAGGTTTTCTGACGTCAGCATAAGTTTTTGGTGTGTTTTTTTTTAATCAAGTACATGTATTGTGTGTACGTATATACCAATGCCATTTCAAATTAATATGGTACTCAATTAATGACTAAAAATGACTTGAAACAACTTCAATGGTTATCTTACAACAAAGCCTTATGATAAACGTGATGACTTTCATTTTTCAATCGTCAACTTCCCTTACTTATGCAGCAATATACCTTTACCACCTGCAAAGGGGGTTCATATCTCTCAGTTGATTCGAAGCGCAAGACCACTCTCTACATATGAATGATATCTAAAACGAATCAATTTCTATTAGTTGTATTGTTTGAACTATTTCGGCATGCGCAAGTATAATGAACAGTAGTTGTTAGGTCACAATATATAAGGTGCTGGTCAGGCGTGAAGTGGTCATCGACGAGAAATCAACCAGTTTCGAACACGCTTTTACCTGTAGCACGTATGACTGAGTCGAATTTTAGCCACGTGGGAAAGGAGCGGGCTATTCATGTTTTGTCTCAAAGTGAACAATCCGGCTCTACAGAGAGTTCTGGAGACGATTTTACAACTGAAGATGCATTAAATACATTTTCTCCGACAAAAAGAGAGGGCATAGTAAGATGACAAAAACAAGAAATTGTCTGTGAACTGAATTTAAGTAAGAAAACGATGGAGAGAAAGGTATTTGACTTTCAGTATTAAAGTAAGTAAATATAGTATGAATTTTAATATTAAATGCAAATAGAGAAAATGACATTAAAAGAGCAGTTAAGTTGCTGGAAAATAACAGAATAGAAACAATTATTCAATCGAATAAATGAAACTATAGTTTTTACGTATTAAGGATAATGGGATTGTTTACATGAATATGAAGACAATTCAATTATTTATGATGCCAATGATGATTTTAAGCTTCGGCAAGGTATTTCAGAGTAAAGAAAAGAAGTATCCTGGTTAGAAAGCACAGTCCTTGACAGTTTCCCGCTCGTATGGGCAGAATTTTGGAAGGTAATAACTGCATACACAGCACCTCCTGTCAATTTTATTGCAAGAGTTATTTAACATTTGATTTTGTGCAAAGCATAGGTACTTGAAATATTCCTAGATGGAAGTCGGCACCTTTTTGACTTTAATTAGAGAATTTTTAGAATTGTTCTATATCATATTCACGAATGAAATAATATCACAATCATTGTAATTGTTTTCTGAAAAATTTATCTTGCAGAGAATGTGTTTTGTAAGTTTTAGAGTAATGTTTTATGCTTTATGCGTTTCCATCTTCCAAAAAATTTATTAATCTAATTTCATACTAAAAGAAACCTTTTGGATAATTACTTTTCAACAGATGTAATGCAAATAAGTGTTTCGTAAAAGAATTATAAAATGTATGTATATTTTCTTCATATATAATCAATTATTCAACCTTTAAAAGTGTTAAGTGTTGCCAAGGGCAATAACTCCTTGTGTATTCAGGCATTTTAATTGTACATATAAAGTAAAATGATTTCTCTGATATTAACATTTCTCATATCTTAGAAGTCTACGGAACATAATCATAATTATGTATTTTAACCATTTTTATGTATTTTTTACGCAGTGGTTATAATATTGTTCACTTAAAATGAACTTTTTTTAATACTAACATTCATTTTTGTTTAGGGAAGGTCCATTCTTTTACGGATCCGATTTTAAATTTACACCCCAATATAAAATTCAGAATGATGATAACGTTTTATTAAAACAATTCTATTTGGATGATTGATAATAATATAGCAAGTATGTATTTCTTTATTATAGTGCCACTGTGCATAAAAAGCTTTCATGGAAATTAACGCTATAGCATTCTGTTCATAGGATCTATGTAACCTACACATAGTTTACTATTCCTGAATATTTAAAATCATACTCTGTTAAATTAAATAAATAAATGTTTTTTTCTATTTTGAATTCATAAAATAGTGTGGACTCTGAGGAGAAATATCGTTATATTAGTAGATGTTTTTAATTTTGAAATTTGCAGTTTAATCATATATTTTTCACTTTTAATAGACAATGATAAAATTCAAGTCGAATTTATTTTTTGAAACCAATTAATTAGGGATGTCAAATCGGTCAATTTTTAGTACTCGGTTACTCGGACGTTTTTTCGATCGAGTACCCGGGTACTCGGTAAAAGTGTAAATAAATATGAACAAGTCAATTGATGACTGTAAAACATTGTAAACTCTTGTAGAAATAAAACCACATGCTCTGATTGGAGGTTTACCCCTAAATGTATTTCTGTTGTCAGAATGATGAGCACTTGTTACGACGAAATTTAAATAACATTTTTTTGAAGTTCAATTTAAATATCAGATAAACACAAGAAATAAAATTATAAGAGGTTCACAGTGTTTTTGTAAAAAAAAAAAAAAGATCTACTTCGTAAATGTAATGTAACTTTGTTGCGTTTGACGTCCAGGAAATCGGTATTTTAAAGCCTTTGCCTTCAACCATTTGTTTTGGCATGTAATCAAACACAACCAATCAACAATCGCACGTGTAATATCATTTACGGCTTCTCGGAGAATTGACAAAATTATTTAATTTATTTAAATAAATTAGACTTTAAACGATGTTCAGTGAAAACAAATAATTAAAGCAAACCAAAAATAAGGGTAGAAGACAGCCAAAGGTGAGAAAAGCCAGGTAACAGGTGCTTGGTCACGATAATTACTGTATAAACACTGTCACAAGCAATTACGGTCATTTAGAGGCGTAGGAAATCCTAATTACTGCATGTACAAGTGCAAGGAGCATTTTAAGTTATAAAACAGATTGTTTAATGCATTAATGAATAAGTTTAAAAACATTCAAAAATATACATCCGAGTAACCGAGTACCGATTTTAGTATTCGATACTCGGACGTTCGATCGAGTACCCGGTTAACCGGGTACTCGTTGACATCCCTACAATTAATGTATATTATTATGATTATGTTTCAGTTTATTGGAAAGTGTGTAAACAGCTTTGACAGTGCAGTTTTTCTTGATTGGGTAATGTATTACAGCCTTTATGGGGCTTTTGTAATTGAGCCTTTATATGGCAATTTTGTTTAAGCCTTAATGGGGCTTTTAAGATTAAGCCTTGGTGGGGCAATTTTCTTTTATGAAGCCTTAATTGGGCTTTTGTAATTTGGCCTTGATGGGGCATTTTTGACTAAGCCTCATGGGGCTTTTGTATGTTAGCCTTGATTGGGCAAATTTGACTAAGCCTTAATGGGGCTTTCGTAATTTAGCCTAGATGGGGCAATTTGATAAGCCTTGATCGGGCTTTTTGTTTTTTAGCCTTGATTGGGCAACTTTGACTAAGCCTTAATGGGGCTTTTGTAATTTAGCCTTGATGGGGCAATTTGATAAGCCTTGATGGGGCTTTGTTTTATAGTCTTGATGGGGCAATTATGACAAATCCTTAATGGGGCTTTTGTATTTTAGCCTTGATGAGGCAATTTTGATAAGCCTTGATGGGGCTTTATGATTTAGCCTTAATGGGACTAATGATTTAATGTGAATTGTCCGTAAAAGATATTGTAAAATTAAG